ACTTGAAATTATTTTTTTTTCTGTAATTTGCTAAAATTTCTTTATTTTATTAAAATAATTTCTGCAGTTCAATTCACTAATAGTATGACCAACAAATGAATTGAACAAATGGTTTTATTGATTACTAACACTTTGTAACTTTTGTTTTCTCTTACAAAAAAGTTAAAACCGCATACCACATTTGATATCAAATGTCGTATCTGAATTACTCTTATTACCTTAACTACATGTAAATACCTGCTTGAAAGAAAAAGTAATAATAATGGGTGTATTAAAAGTTTAAAATAATATATGAAACTATTAAAAAGTATATCTGTTTTCTGCTTTCAACAAATAATTTTATGTCCTGCAACGATCCATTTCTAGGATTGAAACAAATTGAAAGACTATCAGTGGTAAATCTTTTCTGCAAATCAGCACAAATAAGCATAACGATCAACCCTAACAAATCATAAATTGTATTCAAGTATGTATCAGACAAACTGACCACTTTCCAATTAACTTTTTGACGATATAAAGATGTAAATATCCAATTGAAAAGTAATTTAACTCGTTCAAAATGACTATACATAATGAAATAAAGGAATACTTTAACGAGTTATTCTTGAAACGAAGCATCGTGAATAACCGTTAGTAGCATAATGTCGCTATATGCTGCAGATAGAAACTAAATAGATTAAATTATATATGAGCAAGATTTTCACAATTGTGCAAGACGTTAGCATTATCTAATGCATTAATTACAGATAAAAATTATGAAGTCTTGTTGTAGAAATTTAAACTGTGAGTTGCAGCGCAGACAAACAAACCAAACAAACTAAGCTAGGCTTTAAAATACTAAGCTAAAAAAAGTAAGAGAGGAAAAGGATGGGCGCATAAGTGCTAGAAATATTCAGTGATGTGTAAAAATGTGCAATGCAATTTAGAACATTCAACGTTTTTAGACGTAAAATGTAACCTGAAATTCACGGTTTCTTTATATGTGAAATATGATTTCCCGCTTTCAAACTATACCTTAGTATCTATTGGAGTGTGGCAATCGCGACAATTTTTTTGATACTTGAATAAACTCTCTTGTGTTAACTTTACTTTTCTCTCAAAACACGAAATTTTATTTTATGCAAATTCTTTAACTGAAATCATCTAATTTAAACAACACGTAACAATATGAGAAAAAAAAGAAAAAAAAGGAAGAAACTGATTGTAATTCTCGGCAAATAAATGAAGTGTGACGTGATCTCTGATCAAAATATAGTTGAAACATCACATAACTTAGTAATACGAAGAAACTGCTATAACATATAATTTAGTAGAAATAAAGTGCGGTAAAAATGAGTAAGTTTAGTCATTATTGAGATAAATTAAATCCATAGCAAATCCAAGCAAGAGAAACTTATGGTGATTTGGTAAACCAGAATATAACAAGCAAAAAATCAGTCCATAACCGGGATTATATCAAGTCGGTGACGTGACAGCATGATAAGATGTAAAATTAAATTCGAATGGTAAAGTAAGAAAAAAGAATCCAATTTCGAATTTGATTAGTTTCAAGAAAAATAATGGAAAATTTGTTTGGAGTCCAAAATTCATGTCACTCACTGGCAGATGATGGCTTAAATAAAACCAGACAAAGTTTACATAGAATGATACAGCAGTTAGCGGTACGTTTAATGTTTTACAATCTATCATGATATATAGAAGTACCATCGATAAAACATAAGTGGCCTGTGATAGTTGAATAGCATTCTACTGATAATCGTACTTATGAAGTATCTAATATGGTACGGAAGGTATGATATGGGACAAAGTAAACATTGGGGAAAATGATAAGACAACGACAAAAGCACTAATCGCTTAAGATACCCTATATTTCAGTGTTCGATGAAGACCATGAAGTTCTCGTTCACCGAGATATCCCAAAGAATCAATGTTTATCCCTCAAACCACACCCCACTTACCGGGAGCCCCAAGATTGTAGTAGTGAAGTAATAATACCAAACAGCATTCAGCTCAAATGCGAACGTATAAATTCGAAGAATGTCCGTGTAAAGTTCGGATAAGCAGTGTGCGAGATATCTCTAGGTTTTTATGAAACTATTACCAATGTGTTTGTCAGAGGGATTATAGCCGAGTTATTGATGGGTGGTTGGATTAGGGAGAAACGAGCCTAGCTAGGCTTAATGATGAGCCTTTTGAGTGGACAAACTATAAGCCTTGTTTGTCTACTAGGCTTTGTTTAAAATGATTTCTTAGGGGGGATTTCTCTCATATGGTGATGTGGAATGGAAAAATATCACTTTATAACATACAACATCACGTAATATGGTATCACGTAATTTGAATGAGGTAATGTGGTACCACCTAATATGTCATCAGATGATGTGGCATCACGTAATGTGACGTGGTGTCGCGTAACACATAGAGCGATCAAACTGAGCCAAAGAAATTGCTACCTATTTTACTGAAAAAATATAAAATTTGACGTAGAATGAGTGAATATAACCTTTTAGTCCACTTTATATGATAGATGATGGATAAATTTACAACATTTAATCAGTTTCCATTCGATAACACTTGAATTATGCAGAAGTGATTCTAAAACTTTTGATCAAATTGGCCTTATAAGGCTAATTTGAGTAAAAGTTTTTTCTCTTCTTTCTTTCTCTTCGCACAAAATATTTCTTATTTTTGACATGAGGGGCTGATAATGAATTTTGACAAAATATTAACCTAAAATATGGAAAGTTGGAATTGTGAATAGAATGAGTTTGGACAGCTTTTTAAATTTGAATCAATTAATTGATAGAATAACTGAAACGGATAATTTCATCATGTTTGTTCCTTCTTTAAATTCAGCGTAATCATATTTGCTGACATTTATCTCAGGTTATCATGGAACCTTTCAGATTTAAAAAGAAATGGAATAAATATTTCAATTAAGAAATTTTGATCATAATTTTAAAAATGAGTAAACTGTTGACGCATTATAAAGTTTGATAAATTACAGTTTTCTGTTGTTTTTCTTTTATTTTTTGATTTAATATATCACTCCTTTCACATAGATATCACTTTTTTGTATATTAATTTTGAGACTCTTTTTTCTTCAAAATATTAGTTTTTTTTTATTTTTAAATAGAAAGATTAATTACTTTTTCTATGTATGTGTTTTTGAAATTCATCCGAAATACTAATGTCAATATTGATTTCATTTCCCAGTCATCATGTATATGACTTCATTTTCCAAATGATGTTATCTCGAAAGAAATAAATTATCAAACAATAACTTTGAAATGAAAAAGAAAACGCATTTGAATTTTAAGGTTACAAAAAATTTAATTAATAATTCGTGGGAATGATACAGCTAAAATCCGATGGTATATCAAAAAATAAGACCAAAATAGGATCATTCATTAGGTTCTCAAACTAAAATGATTGTTGATATTATTGCCAAGCAACTAACTTTTCTAAATCTTTCGTATAATTCGGTGAAATTCACTCAAAATTTATCATGATCAGATTATTGTCAATTTCGTCAATTTAATAATGAAATTATAAAAATAATACATTCTATTGAATTCAGTTCGATATATTTCTTCTTTTATTGTTGTTGAACGAATCATTTTGCAACTGAAACTTGTAGAACGAGCAATGTTGTATGTCGGGAAAAGATTGGAATGTAGAAAAGATTGAATGTTTTGAAAAGAGCAAAGAACCTTCTTAACAGGTGCAAATTTTGTGCCAATAGTATGAACAAATTTTCAAACAACATACTACAATGAGAGTAAAACAAAAAATGAAAGGAACAAAAAATAAATTCTCATTCTATCACATATTATTCGTTAATTTCATAAGATGCAAAATGAAAGCTTTCCTGAATTGATGAAAAGAGAATAAAAAATGGTAATATTGCAAAAAATTGTATGTATTATTTTAGGTTGCAAATAGCGGTAAGCGGTTGTCTTATTTGTTCCAATTTCATTGAAAATAAAATTATTGATCATGAAATCTGGACTATCTATGTTTTCTTTCTTTTTTGTTTTTTTGTTTTTTTTCAAATTCTGTAAGGATTTAAATATCCCAGATTAAAATGATGTAAAATTGTTTAGATATCTAAATCAAATTGAGCTTAAATATATGTTGGGATCATGAAATCATTTTATAGGTAAATAGTTTATGGAGTATAATTTTCATTCAGTACCAGATAGTTAGACATAGCTACTTTTAAATTGCAATAAAATAACTATTAAGCAAAAATTATTGTCCAATAACAATATTTAAATGCAACAATAGGTATTGAGTTCTCGTATATGCATTGAATAAATTAATTGGGTGTTAATTAAAATTTTACGTATGCTATAATAATAATTAGAATTTAAAAAAGTGTATATCAAATATTAAATAATTTTAAATGATTTTCAGTAAGAAAAAAGAGGAAAAGAGAAAAGACAAGGACGAAATTTATTTATAACTTGTCATTGCTTATAATCATCAATTAATAACTGAATTTTTAAATTAAAAAAAGACAGATTTGAAGCTTGGAAATAAGTGAATGATTACTTCTATTATTATAATTATTCATTTTAGGAAATTCTGGAAAAAATCCAGCAATATCTTGAATTATCCAGAACATATTTGTGTTTTACCGTTGATATTGCAAAAGTACAATTACCAGGTAATAATAACAATAACAATAACAGTAATTAATTAATTGGTTAATTAATAATAATAATAATGACACCAATAATAATAATAATAATAATAATTAGTAATAATAATAATAATAATAATAATAATAATAATAATAATAATAATAATAACAATAATAATAATAATAATAATAATAATAATAATAATAATAATAATAATAATAATAATAATAACAATAACAATAAA